CGACACGAGTGATGAGAGGTCTAAGAAATGAAAAGTAAGTTTTTCTTTTTATCAGATCTCAAAAGAGGCCCCTCTTGGTAACCTGAAGGAATATGTTCTTGACAAGAGATGCCGAATTGGTGACATAGTCACCTTTCTGTCTCAAGTGGCGTCTGCTCTACACTATCTTCATGTGAATCACATCGTACACGGAGACCTCAGCGCTGAACACGTGAGCGTGATAGCGCCAGACAAGGTCAGTACATGACATTGTAGTAACTATATGGTAGTGGTAATCATTTACTTCATATTTCATCAAAATAACAGTATATATCAAGTCAAATTCTGAGGTCATTAAAATAGTAATGACACAAAACACATCACGACAGGCTAGCGGAATTGGTTCGATACTGAAACAGTACACATTTGTTCCGAACTTTTGTCCGAAATGAGATAAAAAAATGTCCGAAAATTAAACGTCAGAAATTTTAACTTCCAAAGTGTTTTTGCAAGTAGTGTACTTTCAGACAAAAACATGCTTGTTAACAACAGTATTTTCTAAATTCCACAATGTTCAACTGCTTATACAATCAGCACGTGTCGGCCAGAACGGATGAGTTCATCCTTCACTTTTATTCTGTCCAGGTCCAGGTTGGCCGTCTGGGTCGCTCTAAGCCTCTTTATATGAGCGCTTATGAAGTAACCAATACTTCATGCGTGGTAGAATCTGTCATGCCACCTGATGCTACTCGCTGGTGAGTACCCTAGAGCCCCATGCTTTGTTTAGTATCAAGACTGTTTGATAAGTAGATTTAAATGAAGGATGTCGGTTAATCACAGTCATGAATAAGTTTGTTGCTGAAAATTACAATGTTCACAAGTATTCCGTTCCATTCAAGGCTAACCAGTTCGGCCTGTTACTGTTTGATTTTAGCACCAGGCTAGGCGAGACACTTTATTTTTGTATATACGGAGTTGAAGTGAATATATTATCGTTTGTTCAATTAACTTGCTAGTGGATTTTGAAAGCTTTATAAACTGCCCGAGAAATGATATGCCCCTGCACTAACAATATAATACACCTTTTTTACAGGAGCGTACCAGAGATAATCTTAGATGGGCATTACTTACATGCCAGTGATGTTGGGACACTTGGAAGTCTTGCTTGGGAATTGTACGCATCGTTCACAACTGGACAGCATGGGCGAGACCTCTCGGTGCCCTTCTTTGATCTTGAAAAACATGAGGTAAATTCTAGGGCTGTACTCAATGCATTCTAAACAATTTTTACAATAGGCAGAGTTTGATAATCATTGGTTACGTCCAAGCCCTCGAAGGCAACGTTTTGATGGCGACTGCTACTCTCAGGACGGAAACCATCAAGAGTGGGTTAGGGAAATGTACCGGACTAAAGAAGAAAACAGAACCAAGGCGGAAAAGCAATTGTTAAAGACCTAAAAAGATAAAAATAGCTTACAAATTTAAATATCTAACCGCTAAAAAGGAAAATATCCTCACTTGTCCAAGGGAACTGAACTAGATTGTCGGGTTTTTGCATTCGCTTAATGGTAAACTAGGTGGAGTGTGCATACGAGCCAAGTGGCCTACCAGGCCAGCGCTTATCTCCGGTTTTTGTAGCATGGAACGACCCGGCGTATTTCTATTCCTCCCTTGATAAGATGCTAGTTCATCCCAGGGTTACACCCAGCATTAAATTCGCCGGTAACCATTTATACACCTGGGCGGAGAGAGGCACTGTGAGAGTCAAGAACATAACACAATGTCTCCAGTCAGGGCTGGAACCCAGACCACTTGATCCGGAGACGAGCGCACTAACCGTGAGGCCGACGCAACTGCACATTCGCTTGTTGAATGAAGAATAATTAAACCCCAAGCAAATTCTGATCACTGTGTTGTAGAACATTCATTTATCTCTCTTGAATTACTTCAAACTAAATGTGTAAGATCCATATTTCAGATTCTGCCTCATATAAGACACCACGGACAGTTGAGCAAACCTGAGGGCTGTCCCGACTGGTTGTATAACCTAATGCATCGATGCTGGGCATATGAATCTGTGCAGAGACCACCCGCTCTCGCCATCTTTGGTTGCCTCACGAACAGGTACGTTTTAAAATCTCTTTTAAACGGAGTAAAATCGACGCAATCAGTATCATCAGTTAATATTAAGAACAAAAACGTATCCAGTGGAGATGGCGTTAAATAACCCTAAAATAAGTAAGTGTTATCTAAGATCATTTCATTACCATGCTGCTCGGCAAATGAAAGTCGGCAAGCGAAGTTTTTGAGAATCGAGTTTTAAATGCTTAGACAAATGGAGAATTTAAACTAGGAGACACTCACTCTAGGCACAAATTTAGTTTTAAATACCATTGTAACCAAGTACGATTCAGTAAATCAGGAATTAGCAGTCGCTGAGTTACAACAAGTCACGGAAGACAGATGACAAGTAATATATATTCATATTACTCTTTCGTTTGTTAAGGGTGCCAATGACGTCCTGGATTATGAGATTCTGGCTGGAAAGTCACGACGAAAGTGAATGGCCAGACTTAACTATCTGTCAGACAGAGGTTGCTTGTCATGTAACTGATATGAGGAGTCGCCCCTCCAAGGAAGTCATCGAGAAGATGTACTCCTACGAGTTCTTTGCCAACCACAAGTACAAACACGTCGACGTTCCTTCAGTAACCGTGAGGGACGACGAAGATGATGATTACTCCTTTTTTTCGAAAGCTGGAAACTCTGAAGCAAACGAGAGTTTGTACATAATCTCGGATTACGAAGCTGCCGACATTAGTCCTAATCCGGTGGAAAGAGATCACAAATTTATGGCAGTTAACCAAGAACCTAGGGAACCAGACAGTAATGAATTAGGCTATTTGAGTTCAATTGCAATGGAAGCTGAACCACGCAGTGATACTGAACACCGTTCCTCCAATCAAAGCACCACTGAGGGATTTGGGAGCAATAGAAGTCACACCGAGATATACCAAGCTGAAGTTTTTTCCAGGACAGCACATGAAGCCACTTTTTCTCAAGCGACAAAGATTAAAAAGCGCGTTGTAGAGTACAACAAAAGTGCCTTCAGTTCCGATCAAGACGAAGCCTCGTGGGATGAAGACACCGAATCTATCCGAAACTATGATACACCTATTGTAGCTAGCGAAAATGCGGTGTACATTCTGGATCAAAGCCATACTTCCCAGGGTGAAGGCACTAGATTTATCCCAAAACAGGAAGCATGCCTTGTTGAGAATGAAGCCATGGATAGCGATTCATCGGCGTGCTTTTATCAGAATGCCGCGTTTTGGACATGTACGCATCCCACGGTTCCAGACCAATTGGTGCCACGGGGCGATCACCTGTACGCAAACATGCAGGAGAAGTTAGACGGGGTTACTGGTACAAGGTCCCTGCAAGGTATGGAAACTGGGCAGCCCCACATGGAAGCCCGCTACCAAGAACACGAAACGTCCCCACAGCTGAATCATGCACTTCAGGATATCGCCAGCAACAACAGTGCTGGCCCATTACGGTCGTTGGCTTCAGCGGTTGGATTTTTAAAGCGAAATCCCAGAGCATCTTTGTTGGAAATCGATCCTAAATTGAAGGTAACATTTTACGTTTGAGGCTGCCGGGTGCGATACAATGATCAAATAAGAACAAGTTCATAATCAAATGATATAAACGTGGATTCCTGTGGTGTGTGTGCGTGTGTGTGTGTGCGTGTGTGTATATATGTAGAGCTATTTTGTTATTTACTAGGGGAGTCCCAAAATTTAGTGAGCCCCCAATCTGTGCACAATTTATTAAGCCAATACGGAGACAATCTGGAATGATATTCTATAGTGCAACTGATTGCCTGACTTCATAAAAAATATATTCGTGAATCCTCACAAGGAAATCTCTATATCACTACGAAGAAATGCTGACCTTATGCCGGCCATAGGGTTTATAGCCTGAGCTTTTTGCACTATATATTAAGCAGTCCGGGTTCAACAAGCGCTTGCCAGGATCACTTCTTTAACTTGATTCCAAAACAATGCGGCGACTAGCTTCCCATCCTTGGAGTAGCTTCATACTATGGAAAGCTGCTAGTGTTACGCAAGCTTCAGAACGTTTAGACAACTGTTCTCATGAGAACCTTTCACAATTTAATCTTGGATGAGTTTAAGGCTATCCCCGTTGTTCATAATGTGTTTGTGTTCCAGCCAGTACCCTACAAAATTTTAAAAATTTTGTAGTTGGGCCTTTTTTCGTTTAATGTTTCACACTTTTGTCTCTCGCCCTCTTCTCCTTAAGAATTACTCGAGAGGCAACAAAATCTTTGTAGAGGGAATTACAAGGGTCACTCTTGGAAGAGAGCTCATAAGAAGATGCGGTAACGAAGGACAGCATCACTACCTAGACGCGGCTGGCTACACTACCCTACGGTTTTTACGCGCAGCCATCGCCTTCGTCCCTGTTGCATTAAACGATGGGGCCGACATGTCGAACGCTGCCTTTATCTTTTCACAACCAGGAGGAGATTTCTATATTCAGGCGGGAAGTGCAGACTGGCAGTATTACTTCGCAGAAGACCAGAATGGTAAAATTTATACCCGCAATATCCGTCGTTCATTTGCTCGCTACTGGTGGGAAATACCAAGTCTGTTGGTAAAGGCTTGGTCGTCCCTCCTAACCTTGACTGGTCCCTCCTCGTCATGACTTGAAAAGTCTCCGTGAAAACATGGTATCATTAGCCGCGTAACAATTCAGTACTGGCACTACACATACTGGTACTTAATTGCAAACTGAGTAATATTCCCGGGTCCGGGGTAATATTTAAGGTTACACAATACCTTCGCAAGTGCCCTTTAGAAAAAAATTCGTACCTGCGTTGTTTTTAAAGAAACTACTAGAAAGTTGATGAACTGTAGAATTCGGAAAAAATATCCACTGTTTTGGCCGTGCCAAACCCAGGAGCATAGCTTTGCTGTACATTTAGTCTCAAGTCTCCAAATCGGGCAGTAGATGTCAATAAATGGACTGTACAATTAGAATCTTGTACAACTTTTTGTAAGTTCTGAGTATAGTCCAACCTTTATTATGCGGCCCCCTATTAAGCGGCCAACCTTTATTTGGCGGCAAGCGGCCAAAGTCCCGGAAAAAATGTCAGCTATACACTGTAATAAAAACCTCAATTCAGCGGCCACCAGCGACAGCCGCCAGTTTCTTGCCGTCCCAAGGGTGATTTGTTTTGTTTTATACCTCTCTTAAGGGCCAGGAAGATTTGAGGTTGGACGTTTTTAGCCAGATGAAGGTAGAAGAATGACAATTTGGAATACTGTAAAAACACATTTTCAGCGGTATTTAATTAAAACAATGACAAAACAAAGGCTCGAAGCGTTTTAATTTGTTTGTACAGCACAAGAGCCAGTGTTGGATTGACAGACACGTCGCGTCTGTACACGTAATTTTTTCTTTGGCTTTTGTTAACGTTATGGACTGCATAATAACTGTCAGTGTTCTACTTTTTTTCCTCTTGCATTTGTTTGTAGTTATATTTGATAAACTGAAAACTGGACCACGCCCAACGTTGTTTTCGGGTGAACCTCTATTAAACGACCACCTCTATTAAGCGGCAAGTTGTCTCGTCTCCGAGAGTGGCCGCTTAACAGAGGTTCGACTGTAGTTAGAAGAGGATATATATATCTTTGTACTCCTCCCAACACACTTTATTTACATTAGTAAAAGTAGTGTATATATTACAGTCGAGTGAGTCACTGAATCAGCCGTGTATCTCCGCATATACATTGGAAAATTCAGTGTTGAGGTCAGTCCCATGCGTATTTTAAATTTAAAAAACAGAATTTTTTCATTACAGTAAATTTTAAGCTAATTTTACGATAGAGTATTTTTTCTAGACTATGCATGGCTTCGTCGCACTACCTCGTCTCTTACTCTAATGTATCATTATACATTCGCCAAGCAAAATGTGATGAGGATTTTTTTACTTAGTTGTAAATATTATAGTTCAGTGTTGGATCATTTTGCTCTCGTTTTGATGGTGAAAGATATTTTGATACTGTATTTTTTCTTGAATTTTACAAATAGTCAGTTACAATTGGAAACCCAGTCGAAACTATCCATAAGGATTTTGTCCCAAGTATTTAAATTGAGATACTGGAGAGAACAATCGCGGCTAAAGTTACCTTTGTTCTCGGTGCATGCTTTTAAAATGGAAAAAAAAACTGACATGACTTAGATTTGGATGGTTCATCTATACAGTAAACTTAACATTACATGATCGTTTGGGGATACAAATATCTCTCACTCGTGATACCATCAACAGGAGAAGATAACATTAGGTGATCATGTAATATTCTTTATTGAAGACATAACTGTAAATTAAAAAGATCTGCTTAAGCCTCCAAATTGGGGCCGTTTGGATGGGTAAAATACAGAACCTACTTAGGATCCAACTTGGCTATAAGGGTCGAAATAGCCTAATTCGCCTAATTCAGTTTATGGGCTGATGCCCGTGGGCTGTAATGCTTCACAGGGTGGGATGAAATAGTTTTCTGAGCCATGAATTACAATCAAACTTCTTGGTTGAGGACATAGAATGCGAGCAGTCTCTCTTTTGCTCGAAAATCGGTAGGGAAGAACGCAAAGAAGAACGCAACGCGCGCGATCGTGATATGCGAAGCCGCGAGCCGCCCGCGTTACTCGCAGTCACACTTATTTTGCTTTATCCGTTCTTCCCCACTGATATCCGAGCAATAGAGAGACTGCTTGCAGTGCACTGAGGACATCAAGATCAACAATGTTTAGCTGCTCTCATGGAGTCTAGGAGCCTCTAGAAGAACGATCTTGACGATGGGACGTTCCAGAACTGCGGACTTGGTTTTCAGCGTGACTCTCCTCACAAGCCCGTCTCTCTTGTTTGGTTTTACTTCCAGGATGCGACCAAGGGGCCACAAGTTTTCTACCACGAGTTCAATGTCTCCAGTTTCAAAGTAACACCTTTATCGTTACAGTGATGGCCTTCTCACTTATAGCAACTAAACTCCCAGATACTGACCTTTAAAAACAAGCTATTAAAACTAAGCATAAGCTCACAAGGTACGCATTGTACCTATTTTTTGATTGGCTTTTTGAAAACACAGAAATCTTGAACGGAAGTCATAATGTTCGCTCGGATAAGGGATTGCTGGCGCGAAATTATATGAAACAGCTGTGCATGTGACCATAGTTAGTAGAGGTGACGTGACCAGCCGTGTTTAAAAATGGAGGATTTTGAAGAAAATTCTCCCAAAAAATAGTGTTTGACTCACGGCTCAGCACTTGTTGCTGTTGGGACAAAACGGTTTTTGCTGGAAACCCCGGTTGATATTTTCGGCGAGAAGAGCAGCAAAGAGCCGGAAATTTTAAAAGTGCGTAAGTTTTTAACTGGGTAAAAAATTAACTTTGGCGATGGTTTACCAATGAAACTGTGCGAATCATGCTACGGAAAGGTGAAGAATGTTATGGAATTCCGTTCTTTGTCGCTGGCATCACTTTCTTCACAGGAATTGACTATCGGAAGGTCTCGTGTGAAGAGTCCGTGGCTCGCAACAGATTAGAGAATCACCTTCTTCGAGTCAGGGACCGTTCATTTTTTATAAGGTAGGGGGGGCTGGTGGGATTTGGGGGGGGGCCATGCGAAAAAAAAT